AATCAGTGTGCTATAACATACCACGGTTAGTACACGTTGGATTTTAATAGAAAAAACAGCGTTTATATCTTTACGACTAATTTTACAAATCTACATATGCGTATTATATTAACTGAACAATTTTTTGCTTCTTCTAATGTGTAATGCGCATCTCTAAATTGTTCTGACCTATTCATTAAATTACTTTACACACACGTTGTTAAGGTTATTGAATTTAACTTTTTGTGCTCTAGAGGAATACAGAAAAAAGTATATCATAGCAGTGGAAAAAACAACGATGACCTAGAAATCTTTAAGAGATTTTTCTTTTTATCATTTTGTTCATCTTCTCAAACAGTTTAACTTCGCCTAAACACTTCACGCTCACATTTTTCTCAACTTGATGTGCCGAAAACGCTCAGTCCTATATTTTTTAAATTATTTCCTAGGCATACAGAAATAAGTTTTCCATTTATTTATAATACTGAAACTTACATTTTTACCATAAAATAGAAAGGATAGCACAATATGGAAAAAGTGAAAGAAAATAATTAAACAAAATTGTACTTTTTAGAGGATCAGTTGTGCATGCGTAAGGCACGGGCACGAGCGTTAAGAAGTTAAACAGTTTCTTCGTACATTTATGAACAGTGGATATATTTAAGTGCACTCATTTACGTACCCCATTTCGTACACATATTACTAAAAAAATATTCTTGTTCATTTTTTCTTTAGAGAATATGCTATGTAATCAATTTATCTAAATACTTTTCGCTAAATATTAAAAATCGTTAATCTATACTTTGAAGTAAATACGTAGTTGAATAGAACATACGTGGTGGTGAAATTTAAATGATTTTTCGTGATTAATTCGAGATTAATATAGATATATGGTTAACTCGAAACGTTTATTTTCTTTATTCAGAGTTCAAGATTTCAAACTAATTAACGCACGCATGTTACGTAAATTAATTTTTTGCATATTTTTCGCATCATATGTTAATTTTATCTTGTGTCTTATGAATCTGTGATGAGATATCATCTTACAAGGGAACTTGGGTAACCCGAAATGTCCGATTTTTTTGAAACTTTGTGGGTTTGTAGGGGACCTCGAGCGAAGTATCGGGCAATTTTTTTTGAAAATATGTCAAATAAATGCAGATAAATACCAAAAAAAGATTAAAAAAAAAATACCAAAGATTCGCACATATACTTGGTATCTGATAACGCATCATTCCAAGTGCGACGATGATAGCACACAAAGCACGTATCAATTAAAATTATTTAAATGTCACATTATCCGATAAGATTAACATATTTATCTGCATTTATTTGACATATTTTTCGATATGATAGAAAATAAAAAATTTTTCATAACAACGATAATGGAAGATTTTTTATTTAAGAAAAGAATTTTTATTAATTTAATAGCACAGCCTTATAAGGCATAAAAAGCCATTTAATTTTTATTATAAACATTTTTATATATCTACTATAGTTTTAAAGATATACAGGGAAATAGGGTAACACTTATCTTCATTCAAGGGCTGTTTTCACCCCGAGGTACCGAAATTCGGCCAAAAAAAAAATTGTCCGATACTTCTCTCGAGGTCCCCTACAAACCCACAAAGTTTCAAAAAAATCGGACATTTCGGGTTACCCAAGTTCCCTTATTAGTAGAATATTTCTCTTTCTCTTGATTTTCATGCTTTACATCAACAATTTTTATACATTTCCAAAACACTTGCTTTAAATGCAAATTAAACTGATCCTCTCAATCCCACATAAATGTTTGATTCTCATGAACTTCTTCGTAGAAGAGCACTTATTAATTCTTTATAAAGATGAATCCGATTATATAATTTAAATAACACATAGGTTTAGAATTTTATACATTCTTTCAAGTATATCAATCGTAATAAGTTGTTGGACTATTTAGTCATTTATTTCTTATCAGCATGTGCGAAAGTCATTTATTAAATGTGAAGAAGAATATTTATAAAATTATATGAATTTACATATAAATGTATTTGATACATATTTCATACACAATAATATAATGTATACCATAATATACAAGTAGAATGTTATAACATACAATAAAAAATGTTAGCATTCTAATAGTTTCAATTCTCAAATCAATTCCAATAGGTAATTATTATTGTAGACTTTCCACAGAACATTGATTTCATTAAATATTTTAAGAATGTGTCGTTTTCTTAAAACCATATCCTTTTCCAGTTTTATTTTATGTTGATTATTGATAATTTAATTCCTAAGGAAACTAGTAAAATTCATCAATATCATGCATTTTATGCAATATTCACTTTCTATATATAGTGTAAGACAGAAATATGGTTTTATGCATAGGATCATTGATAAGTGAATGTTTTCTATTATAATGACTACTTGATGTAATTTAAATTTGCTTGAATGGAATATAAGCCATTTAAGTAGCATAGCATTACAGTTTACCAGTCTGGCGGGTCATGAGTGTCATAATTTTGTTAAGAATTCATTTATAAATGCTACAATTGTAACAAAGAGTCTGATTGCGATGTTCGTAGATAGTTATCCATATTGATTCTTTTTCTCGCAAGAATAATGTTTTCTAGGAGTGTGCACGATATGAACTATTTGAAATCAACTTACCTGCATTTCCATTCAGCGAGCTTGTTAAACTCAAAGAGTAACGTGTTTTTTGCATATGTACAAAATTATCTAGACTAGAATTGATGTCCGTAACAAATTTTTAATACGAATAACTTTGTTTATAGTTTTGGATATTATAGAAAGATAATTTAGAAAACTAATTAAATAAAATTAAAATCCATTTATTTTCATGTTATTGTTACTCCGTCTGGGAAATTGACAATGATCGAGTATTTGCGTGCGAGCAGTAGAAAATACACACAGTCTATTAACATAGAAACAATATTACATCTGTTTCATAAATAACTTGCTTACATAATTTAAAAAATATTTGGTAACATCCTTAGGAAAAATTTAATCGTCGCAAATTCCGTAACAGTTTGAATTGTAATATTTTGCGACGCAACGTTTTCTCTCGCACGATAAAGTTACTGCTTTTGTAGTGTAATTTACTCGTGTCGAATTCGAGAAAAAGCAGCGAAGAGAAAAGAGAGGAAAGAGAAGACGAAGGACACGGCTGTTGCATCCTAGCGGCGCAGGACCGTATCAACAGGATCTCGCTTGATCAAGGTGATGGTGGGGATAGAAGGCTGCGTGGTGGGATATGTCGGTTGCTCGAGTGGGGGAACAGAACGAAGAGGAGACGAGTGGAGCTCCCTCTGGCGAATGTCTTGTGTCAGTCAAGCCGTGTGTCGCGTCGCGGTGGTGTTGTGTCGTAGTGACGCGTCTCGCGTGTCTCGTGGAACGCCGATGGCGCTTTGCTTGCCGTGATTATGAGCGACGTGAGTTCAGTGAAATTAGGTTCAAGATATTGTCGTCGATATGTTCTTGAAGCAGTGAGGAAGAGCAGCGCGCTATAAAATTACCTAGACGAGGTTCGTCATTTCGCTGGACCGCGTGCTTTTCGCTGTGTCGGTCTTTCCTCTTTTGGGGGGTTTTCAAGGTTACGTTTTCGTTACCGACACAAACGAATCGGAGACCGTTGCTCTGCCTGCGGGTTTGTCCATTCTCTCTGTCATTCGCGTGTTACAGCCTCCGACGATTAAAAACTTGAACGGTTCAGGTTTTGACGTTTAATCTATTTCTTGTGTAATATTTGTACGAAATATTAGTGAATTTGTATCGTGTTTTATTAATTGTATGTGCTGTGTGTCCTGTTTATTGTTCTACCAATTTGGCGGTTTGCCATTGTTTATTGAATTAACTGGCAATAGTGAAGTTTTGCGATTATTGGAAGTATTCTTGAGATAAATGCACGAGAATTTGCAGTAACGATAACGGTGTTACGAACAAAACTGTTATTAGTTTTGCGACAGGATATTCAAGATCAAGAAAAAGTAACCTAATAAAATAACGACAAGAACATCGGGATCGTAACGGTAATAGAAGAGCAAATTTTTTCACTCGACAAAGAAATTAGTGAACAATCTGTGATTAAAGTAACATTGCTCGTTTGTCTTCTGGGTGAAAAGCACGCAAATAGGCAGTAAGAGTAAAAGGTGCAAAGTTCTCTTGTCTGTTGAACAAAACGTTTCCATTCAGTCTCGGAGAGTTCATCGAGTGTGTAAAAAGGCAAAGACAACGCGATGACGGAGAAACCATAGATAAAACGTTCCTCGTTGCGTGTACGAATAGGACGCGAGTAGATTGTTGCGCGCAGTAACAGTCGTTGCTGTAATTTAAAGTAACCTGTTCACGACACGGGCATTGGGAGTAGATTCGATCGCACTTAGGAAGGATCGATTGATCTTCCGTTAATTTTTCTTTCTCGTTCGCCGGTCACCCCGTTGCAGAGTGCTTCGTGAAATAGATCGAAGCAAAGACACGGAGCACAATTACCCGCGGTTTTCTTTTAATTGTTAGCTGTGCTTCGGATTCGAACGGAGCCAGCAGCAAGCAACTTAGAGGCGTTCGGAAGGAGATCGTATCGACGCGTCGGACCAGTTCGATCGTCCGCGCCTCGTAATGAGCCAGGGCATCGCACGTTGAAGATCGAACGTGACCAGTGCAGTACCCCCGCGTCGTCCATCAGTATTCTCGAAGGAGCCGTTAATCGAGGTACCGCCCATTACAAGAAAAACCAATCGGACCTGCGATCGTCTCGGTTCTCAAGAGGGGAAAGGAGAGAGGAAAAGGGAGAGAATCGGTACGGCCGATTGAATAGCGAATATCATACGTGACTTCGTTCTCACGAAGACGTTGATCCGCATTCGTTTAAAGATGTCGCGATACGCAGTTTCGAGACAGAGCGCGTAAGAGGAGACAAGGACAGACCGAGATCAGATCGGAAGGCGAGGGAAAACACGTGAACGCGGAAAAAGAGCGGCGGGGGCGTGATAAAGCCCTGGCACTCCTCACAACCAACAGACATGACGATGGCTAGCAACATTGTGGTCGAGTGGCTGCGCTCGCTTCACTTGGGCCAGTATTCGGAGTCCTTTATCGACAACGGCTACGACGACCTTGAGATCTGCAAGCAAATCGGCGACCCGGATCTCGATGCGATCGGAGTTTTTAATCAGACTCATCGAGCACGATTGTTACAATCTGTAAAGACTCTCAGAGAAGAGGGTGCGGCGAGCGTTTACTTTACCTTAGAAGAAAGCAACGACTGTCTATGCGACAATGTCAGCTCGAAATCTTCCAGAACGTCTTCTGAAAGGCCGCTCAGCGATAAAGAAGCGCAGAGGGCTTCGCCAACAGCTAGTTCCTCGAGCGGTGGTCAAGAATTAACCAAGTTCGCGGACGAGTATGAGGAGGGGAAGGCGGAGCTCGTCAGAATCCCAAGGATGCAACTCCGGATGCTGCTGCAGGAAAAGCTCAGACACGACGGCATCAGGTTGGCTTGTCAACCTTACACAACACCGGTAAGTCGGCTTCTTTTTGTCTGCCCACAAATAATCTAGTTCCTTACTTTAATTACTTCTCTACGGAAAAAAATACTAAAGATGTTCATGGGAAGACACTGTGTACTTTGTCGTGCAAATTTTCACACATACGATCATTTTACGCTAGATTCGATTATTATTATTATGTATACAGTTATATGTTATACGTGACGCTCTTGTCTACTGGGACTGGATAATTACAGAAGAAAAGCTATTCAAGTAAGTTCGAATAAAAAATTGTGGTGAAAGTATTGTCAAATTTTGAATTATTATCGACACATTGAGCAGTACGCTTATCCAATACACAGAGAAAACAAATTTCACCGATTACACATTAGTTCTTCTTAAGTGCACTTGCAGACATTTATAACTATAACCAAGAATTCCAATCAGACTGTTCGGTTACGAAATACTACATGAATCAGAGGTATTCCACTGTTGAAGATAATCTAGAAAACATAATCCTTGTGATACATGCCTCGAGAGTTTGGAATCTATATTGTATACATATATGTAATCCAGTGATTCATTATTTCCTTACATTAATCAGCACTAGAGATAAGGCGAATTCTGCAATGTAGTTATTATATATATATATCTATATTTAACCAGGACTGTGTTACAGTTAATAACATACTTGATAGAAAGAAATTACTCTTTTTTTTCTTTTTAAAGAAAAAGCAAATATATGCCTATGTGTATTGTATTTCGTCAGTAGCTTGAATGATTTTGCATCACGTCTAGTTGGTGGTACATGCACATGTATATTTAAATTGCTTTCAGCACTTCAAATTTTTTCTGCAGGGTTAAATAGTGTATGAAAACGGATTGTGTACATTTAAGCCAATTGCAGATTGTATTTATGAATAAAACATGTTTTCCGTTCGGTATTTTCGTAAAAACGGATAACGTCGTTTCTACTTGCTTGCAAACAAGAAGCTAACTTGTATTTGTCTCAGGAGCCTTGTTTGTAGAATTCTTAGATATTGTACAGAATTTTCTTCATCTCATTTTTGTTACATTATTCTTTATCCTTAGTTTTAATTGTCAAAAAATGAATGCAAATCATTTTTCTTTGTACTGAATAACGTAAATATTATTTATTTATTATACTACCTTCTCTGTTGAAATTATACGATAAATTCTAACGAGGCGTACGGAGACTTTTTTGACTGAGTGTATGTATGTATACGTGCTTTAGCAACAGACATAAATCGAGAAATAGTAAATGAACAAGGAAATGATCAAAGAATATATAAAATTATAATTAAGTAGCGATAAAATCTAACTAAATTGAAATAGCGGCTAATAACGATAATCAATTAAATTCTTAATATAAATAAGAATCAGAAGAAGGAATATATTTTTTAAGAACAATATTTTCATGCATTTTAATCTATTTACCATTCCAGAAAAAGTTTTAAAATGATATAATGTAATCATCGGGAAAGATAGCATTAAATAAATAGCTTAAAAATGTTAGCAAACGAGTTTATTTATTACAGTGTAATACACGAATTTCAGCGTGTTAAGAAGTGTCTTTTATGTTAAGCATTTTCCAAAGAAAATGTACATACTTTTGTGCAAGTGATTGCAAGATGGAAAGGAACGCAATAAAAATACCTCTTCTCTTTCAGAGCATGGTGGTCTGGACGTCATCTGCTCCTTTTTCTCTCTCGATGCAGAACGCATATGTTTCGGTGGGTGTACGTGCATGCGTGCAGCAAAGCTTGTACTCACGAATGCATCGACCTTCGTCCAAGTGATACTTACCACCTTCAGTTTAAAAGCATACTTTCGTATTTATTGGTTCAATCCGGAAGGTCCGATTTGTTCGGCGGTCCAACTGCATATCTTGCCAATCAACATTCCAATCATAGGGACCACGTGGCCAATTACGGTACCCGCGATACAATCAGTACCACTATGCGCCTATTTATCTCTTTTGTTGGTCCTTTGAAGGAACAACTAGCAATCATGTTATGATATTGCAGGAGAGTTCAATAGAATTCTATTTTCAAAGAATAACCGAAAAATAGTCTGTTATATAGGTTGCAAGCAAACTTCGTTTAAAGTTGTACATAACTATAATTACTCATCTATGGGTCATATTGCATCGTGTAATATTCTATAGGTTAAATATAAAGAATCAATTATTTCTAACACTTGTGTTTCTTTAAGACTATTACTTTCCAAAAAACGTCGATTAATCGAACCAATTATTTCTTGTTAACGTGTAGTAAATTTTAAAAGACTAATTGCTACTACAAAATAACTACGCTATATTTCATTGATTACGAATTCTAGCAGTGGCAAATTGTATAAGTGTAATGTATTGGAGCAGAAGCATACATAGAAATTTGTCATGCCGCTCTGCTTCAACAAAGTAAATATTAATTACTTGATTTTTCCATTAGTAATATTCCATCATCTGAAACGAAATTGAAACAGATACACGAACACAATGCACAAATATTCTGATCACCACAAACACGAGTGTGTTTAAAGTTCTTGTACCGTAACGAAGTTGATCTTAAAAACAAATTGAGAAAACTTTTCAAGAAACTAATTAACGTAGTGTGTGAGCTAAGAATAATTGATAAAATTTTGGTATTACAAACAAAAGTCTAAAGGTTGTGTTTTATATTAACTGAAAACTATGGTAAATCACTATTCATATATGAAAAGTTGTTGAAAACCTCGTTTTATATTAAACTAAGCAAAAGCGAATGTTAATTCTTTATAAAATGAAGGTTGTCAATTTGTTATTTATAATGTACTTTCAGTAAAAATTGCGAATTTATTATTTACCTATAAAAACAAAGATTACTTTCACTTCTCTCACTGTTTTGAAATTATTTTCACAGTATGCATTAATATATGACACAAATATCTAACAATAGGATGATCAAAGCGTCATCTTGAATCATTCGCTCGAGATTATGTACCCAGCACGTGATTGTTCGGGACACGCGAAACAAGAGAAACGCGCCACGATCAAGCAAGTTTGTAGTTTCAGGTATTCCAGGCGAGAGGAGTACAGCGACCGAGTTCATCGTATAGTATAACTATACGCAGACCAGCGGTAATAGCGTTTAAATATTTGAGCAAATGTTCAATCGATATACCTATCCCTTTAGCCAACCCCGTCACAGCTCTTTCTGAACCGTTCGTTCTCAGCTCCTTTCCTCTTTCCAACCTGTTCTACCTCGTAGGTAGTCGATCGAACACGTTTCCATGAAATATCAAACGCGGCGAATGAGATTCTCTTATTCTAGAAAGGGAATGCGGCCCCGGAGATAGGGTGGAACAGCAGACATTATACTTTAGACGACGACAATACTGCATAATTGGTCAAACGTAGTCATGGTTAGCGATCCTATTTGATTATTCTCGAAATAGTTTGTACGTCTTTACCAATGAATGCGAATTTTAATTGCAAATGCACTGTACAGAGCTGGAAAGTTGTCCAGCAGGAAGGCACAGGAGCAAGAGGGATATCTCGCTCGCACCGTCTGACATTCTCGTCACGCGGTGCTATATGATTCAATTCGTCGATGTTATCGCGTCGGCCAGTAATGACAATACGTGTATCCTATTTCTACGATTGCATTAGAGAAGGTGGGCCTATGGGGATAGAACCAAATCAGACACGCAGCTCTGTATTCTTCTCTTTGCATAGAGTTGATACATCTCTTCTGTTTTTATCGAAAGTAAATTATCAACGGTGTACACTATAAAATTAACTCATTGTTAGTGATTTATAAATATAACTTTTCGTTCAATTTTTGCTTCTATTACTTTTTTCAAAGCTTAATAGTATTACATATTACAAGAAGTGATATTATGTGTAAATATTTTCATACAAATATTTTCATAATATACAGGGTGGTCCGTCTAACGTGATCACCTCAATTATTTTCGTTATTAGTGGACCAATTAAAATTTTCTTTATCGTAGAGAGTACGGTTTCAAAGGATCTTCAAGGTGACGGCCTTAGATTTTTTCCATGTCCTTTTTTAATTAAGTTTTTAAGGTCACTGTCAATTTTTTTATGTATAAATTTTATGTATACAAAAATATATTATATTGAGGTCGTCGAATTTGTCTCAATGCCTTACTAGGTAATAGGTAAAAGAAAGCTACGAGATTATAACGTAACCTTTAATGCTGAAATCGTCACAATAGTGACTATTACGTAGCGATAAATAGAAAGCAGCATCTGAGTTAAAAAAGTAGAGATATCCTTAGAATGTCTTTTAGGCCTCCACCTATGAAAAAAGCAGATATTTACATCACATTATATCCCCCTTCGTGTCATGCAAGTTTTGTATATATTTCTTCATATTATCACAAATAACGGAAATATTCCAGGTGGACAAAGTTTTTGCCCCACCCTGTATATCGAAATCGGTTTCGTTTGAAATAGTTCCTCCATTTTTATAATTCTAACATTTAGTAACATCGTCAGAAGCGTTATTCTATTTAAAAAGTAAACTTTTATCGAAATATCTTATTAGTGGAAAAAAACATTTGTTACACACACAGAGGGTGTTCCGCAACTGGCGGTCCAACCGCGAAGGGGATGATTTAAAATGAAAAAATGAAGTGAAAATATAGAGCAAAATTTTTTCATAAGAGGCTTAGTTTTTTTTGAAAATTAAATTTAAATATTTGCCAAATGCACGTGCATTTAACTATTTCTCAGCCTTATGTTTGCACTAATAAACGATGCCAATGTTATGATTAGCACTGATAGTATATTTATTAACGAGTTCCTTGTTTGAAATTTATATTACTGAACGAATTGTTGAAAGTGACATCTTTGTTAACGTATGCAACTCCTCGTTCTTTGAATCAGAGAATCGCTGACTGATGATATGATATTTTGACGCTTTAATTGTTTGAAAGTCTATACAATTCTTTTTTTTAGCTACAGATTTACACTATAATCTGCGTAGACTTTTTTTTATTAAATGACATTACCGTTATTTATCAACATAAAAGTATAAAAGTAA